TGTGCATGTGTAATATTCTTAATTTCTGTGTACAGTATTATTATGCTCAATTAAAACATTATGTAAAACATTATATCATATGTATAATATGTTTTATTACATCATTTATAATTCAATTCAGTTTATTTATATAGTGCAAATTCACAACACATCATCCCAAGGCACTTCACAGTTCACTAGATCACACAGTCAAATTGATTCAAAGTTTTCTTTCTAAGGAAAACCAGTTGATTGCATCGACTCATTGACTAAGGCAATCCCTCACACTAATCATGCTTGCAGCGACAGTGGAGAGGAAAGATCCCTTTTAACATGAAGACACCTCCAGCAGAACTTTTATAAACTTTATGGACTTCATACTGACAATGCAATGTGATGTGCCTATTTATTTATTTTTTTTTTTACCATAATTTACAGTAATCTACTGATGCTATGAAACAGCAAGTGTGTGTCAAATTGATGAATTTCTCTTAAGCCCCCCTGAAAATGAGAAAATCATTGTTGTTCAGTGCTGTAGCACACATACTGTTTACATTCTGACCAGTCTAACTGGGGAATATGGCAGCTGATGACTTCACAGAACCAACCACCTATCAGCAATCCAGTAAATAAATAGTTATTTATCCCATCTTTGTGAATCACCTGCATCATGCCCACTTGATGCATACACACACACACACACAAAAAAAATGCTTGTACAATTTAGCATGCCTTATTCTTATTTGGAATCTTTGAAGATTCCTTTTTCAGCATGAAAACATTTTTTGCACTGGGTGCAATCTGTAGGCATAAAAATTGTTGTGCGGTATCTGCTGGCCATACTCTCACACACATCTGCAGGAAAAACCTGAAAGCTTTCGCTCCAGCTATGATGAAGGCTAACACTCATACGGCATTATGAGCTCTACTTTTATCTTTTTCTTTTAGATATAAGCAAAAACATCCTGTCCATCAAATATTGTTTGTGCATTTTCTCACTTAATCTTGGACTTTTTTTCCACTCCTATAGTGAACGCTGCGGACTTGCTTGGTTCAATTTCTTCCTTTTTTAGTCTCCGAGCACTTGGATAATATTGTAACCCTGGTCACAAAGTCTTGTCATAGTAAGTGACCACAAAGTGCTTTTTGATCTAAGAAATATTGCAAATACAAAGTGTAAAAGGCATAAGAATTCTAAATTGTCAATTTGTAAAGTCGTAGAACTTGATCTATTTTCCTACCCTCTTCTTTGGTCATGAGCTTTGGGTCATGACTGAAAGAATGAGATCCCGGATACAAGCGGCTGAAATGAGTTTTCTCTGTAGTGTGTCTGGGCTCTCCCTTAGAGATAGAATGAGGAGCTCAGTCATCTGTGGGGGACTCAGAGTAGAGCCGCTGCTCCTCCACATCGAGAGGAGCCAGTTGAGGTGGCTCGGGCTTCTGGTTAGGATGCCTAGAGGACGTCTCCCTGGTGAGGTGTTCCGGCCACATTCCACCAAGGAGGAGGCCAAAGGGGAGGCCCAGGACATGCTGGAGGGACTATGTTTCTCGACTGGCCTGGGAGCTCTTTGGGGTTCCCCCAGAGGAGCTGGCCCAAGTGGCTGGGGAGAGAGATGTCTGGGCCTCCCTACTGAAGCTACTAGACCCCCGGATAAGAGGAAGATGATGGATGGATGGAACAAGACAAAGAGCCTCTAATGCACTTAAGATACCAAATGTTTTTTTTTTTCACATCTTAAAACATTCTTGCAAATGGTTTTGGGACATATTTTTAGGACCTTTTGAAAGAAATGTTTTGTGTTGCCGCGTTAAGGCTTACACATCCATTAATGGAATCTAAAACATTCTCTACATGCATTACCAATTAAAAAATAAAATGATTAAACTTCTGTTAAGGCTTTCTGTGAGGTTTAGGGTGTGTTTAAAGAAACATCTGGACATCAAGGAACTAATTTGTTTAGTCAGACACTGATGTTGTATGAATGTCAAGGCTAACAGTTTCTGCTCTAATTCATCCCAAAGTTATCTTAGATCCAAGGCCAATAAAGGTTGTGCAAACCAATTTTTTCCATCCATTGGGTCATGATCATCACACTGAAAAATAGTCATGCTGAAAATAGAAGGAACCATACCTAAAAGGTCTCCTTAAAGGTTCTGCTATTCTGGAGACAAGCAAAGGGGGATGTCAAGTGACTTGGACAACAGTTTCCATCAATATTTATCACAACTTTACGCTGTAGGAAGAGATCGCAGTTAGCAAGATGGAAGACAGCTGCAGTAGTCAGTGGAGGGACAGGGAGGAGTTAGAGCTCATTAATATATTTAGCGAAACCTCTATTAAAGCCAGATTGGAAGGCTTGTATAGGAACGCGAGGATGAAGGATGTAGTGCACGCCGGTGAAGTGTTCATGTACAGTCCTGAGTAGAGACGACTTTGCATGGCCAGACGTTACCCAGCATGTTTTAACAAATGTCCTGCCTTAAGAATCAAGAGGAGAGTCGCTGACATATAAATTTAAAAATGCCCTTGATATCCAAAAGATTTCAACTGATTTGTCTCTATGAATTTACAGACATCATTGTCCCACCATTCATGGCTGTATCTGGCAGCCAAAGCTTGGTAAAATGGTAGAATACAGAGTTAAATTTCCCTCTCTCCACCTGCTGATGCAATAAATGGCTTCCAATGGACACCTAAAACTTCAATACCTATTTCTTTCATGTTTCCTGCATCAAAGCTAGCTGAGCATGACTGCATTGTTTATTGCTCGTTTGCGCATTCACTAGAGAATATTAATAAAACTAAAGTTGAATAAAGATTTAAGACCACTTGTCTCATTTATTTTAAATCACAGCAAGAAGACATTTTAAGTGGGGTGTGCAGACTTTTTAGATGCACTGAACATACACATCACTTATGTAAATTAGATCCATGTGCAAATCTTCCTGTGAAGTGTTAAACTCCAGCGGCTTTGAATTAAGAAAACAATTTTGTCACTGTATGCTTTTTAGGAATACATCTAACATACTTATCTGCAGAGGAAGTGCAGATATATCATTTTGCTAAAGCTATTTAAACTCCATAGAAACACTTAGCAGTCAGTACACGTGGCACAAAAATAACCCAAATGACAAAGTTCTACTTAAATATATCTATGCAAATGTTGAGAGGAGGGAGTTTTCTGCCCAAGCCACCAGGGGGAGTATTCATTTGATCAAAGCAGCAAAGTTAAATGTTGGAACAGCAGAAACGTCACTAACTTTAGAATGAATCAAAATGGGTTCCTCAAACTATTAACACTGATCCATCTGTCAAGTATGGTGGTGGCCGTCTCATGCTGTGGGAGAGTGTAGCTGCATGTGGTACTTTAGCACAAGAAGGTTTTAGAAATGAAGAAAGGAGAAAATCTCTAAATCTATATCCTTTAACTAACAGACAGGTAGTTAAAACTTGGAAACAAATGCTTATCAACACAACTATGATCCAAAGAACAGTTTCCCTAAATCACCCTTATGAAACTTTGTTGACTCTGCTGTCAAAAGTTTAGCCAGATGCAGGCAAGGGGCTTATTGAGCCATGTGATCATGGTGTAACTTAAAAAATATAGAAGTGAATATGCTCTCTATACTTTGACCCTGTGGGAATAATAGAAAAATCTAAACAAATTCAAATATGTCCATTACCCTTATCAAAAAAACCAAAGTTGTTTTCTCCTTATAAGTCATTCTATATAAAAGATAATCAATCTTTCAGGCATTGCAAATGTAAATCAGTGAAATCTGTCCTCTCCATTTAACCCATCCCTTACAGAGCACGAAGCAATGAGCAACAAACATACAAATGTTTTTTATCTAGAAGAAAAATCCCCTTTTTATTTGAACCATATGTTTCAATTTAGATATTAAAAATACAATGAAAAGCACTTTTCACCTGTGGAAATGTTTTAGTATATATTGGATTGATTTTACTATGGGAAAGCAGGAAAGCTACATGAACATATTTCTTTTTTCCTCCTGTTCTTTTTTCAGTTATATAATCAAAATATACTATATATATATAATTAGACTGAAGATGTTTTATCGTTATCTCCCTTTTTATCTCCTCTGTCTCTAATCTTTTCTCCGTTTTCTCATTTTTTATCTTTGCTGTTCTACTTACATTGCATATAATCAGTCCATATAATCTGTAATGCTCCCTGCATGATTTGTAATGACGATATTTATATGCATTAATCAAGAGGAACACTATGGCGATAGCCGTACTGCTCCACCTCTGAAAGCAATCTTTTGGGCTCTTTTTTGGCATCAAGACAATTATTCTTATTGTCACACTGCCAGACACAGGACACGTGTGTATATATATATATATATATATATATATATATATATATATATATATATATATATATATATATATATAAGGCACCAGCACCCCTCGCGACCCCAATTGGGACAAGCGTGTAAGATAATGGATGGATGGATATATATATATATATATATATATATATATATATATATATATATATATATATATATATATATACATATATATATATTTACACGCGTGTGTGTGTGTGTGTATATATATATATATATATATATATATAGATATATATATATCTATATATATATATATACACACGTGTGTATATATGTGTGTGTATATATATATATATATATATATATATATATATATATATAAATTAATTTAGTATCATTTAATTCAAATGTAGAAATATGTATATTGTTCTTATTTAAGTTTTTCACAATAAAGTAAAACAATCATTGCAGACCAGATATGCTAAAAAGCATATTTTTGCTTTTTTTTCAATGTTGCGGCATGATTAGTTTACATATTTAGTGAAATAAGGAGTGGCTAGAGGAAAGGTCTCAAAAATATTATAAAAATAGCCATCTTCTATCTTGAGAGTGTTAAGAATATCCGTGTTTATATCGGTTTGTCCACTAGTGTGATATAAATAAACAGGCAGAAGTGCTGAACATCATAGTCCAGCCTGACATATCAGCAGCAGAGTGACATACGGTGGCCCGTGAGGCCAAACTGATTATTGTCAGCGCCTGGGAGTGATATGGACTCGTCCTGCCCTTCCACATCTTGAACAGTGGGAGTCATGAACCGCTGCAAGGTGACGCGTCCTTTGATTTCAAGCTCAACTTCAGCGCAGACATGCCGACATTATTAATCACGCCACGCGCCTCGCTTTGAACAACAGGCAGCGGCTCTTCTTCTCGCTTCAAACCACAGGATCGGGACCATCTTTGCGCAGTGAGAAGTCGGAAGCCGAGCGAGCAGCGGCGGGGAATGTGGACCGGACCCGCGGCGGTCCCGGACACCATCGGCCTCTTCTGAGCCCAGACAGCCGCCGAATGGGGAAGGTAGGAAGCCGAGCCGCGGCTCTGACCGCTGTCACCGCTAACAGCTTTATTAAAGCCTCTGCGTGCGGACGTGTTGAAGCGCTTAACTTTGGTTTCGTTTAAGGAAGTCGCTGATAAAAGTTGAAAATTCCCCATTAGCTAGCACTGGCTGCAGATGTGTGTGAGGGAGAGACGGACGGAGCTACGGCGACGTCAGTTTAGCGGAGACGCGAATTAGCATGCTAAAGTTAGCTCCGTGGATGGCGCAGCGGGGCTCCACTCAGGAGGCGCCGTGGGGTTCACGTCAGGGGCATGTGTCCTCACATTCTCCCGGTAGGAATGCGGGGCTGAGCCGAACACCACCCCGGGTCTGTGGGATCCAGATGTGTTCACTCCTGCTGTTAGCTTATCAGCTAGCTGATATGGGCAGCGTTTAAACAGAAGGAAGCAGAACAGCTGACAGAGTCACAACCAATTCACTTTATTTCTATAGCGCCAATTCACAACACATGCTTTACAGTTCACCAGATCATACAGTCAGATTGATTCAAAGTTTTCTATCTAAGGAAAACCATCTGATTGCATTGACTCTAATGCAATCCCTCACACCAAGCATGCTTGTAGCGACAGTGGAGAGGAACAACTCCCTTTTAACAGCAAGAAACCTCCACCATGTTGGTTTTGAATTATATCAGCTTTCGCTCTGCTTCTGATATAGAAGGTAGAGAATAAATATATCCACTAAATCGAGTAGTTGAGCTCAAAAAGGTGATTAAAAAGAAAGTGCACCCAGTTTAAATTCCTGAAGACATCACGACATAGAGAACGTGATCAGATCTATATATGGCTGTGGGGTATTTTAATGTATTTATTTGAATAAACCCAAATGTCAGACTACTTTTGGTCATTATTTGGTAAGCAAAAAATAAACCAAAACATAAAAAAACTGCATGGTACAAATATGCACACCCTCACTACTAATGTTGGGTTTAAAGAAGCAAGTTGGAGTCCAGTTTATTAGATGAGCAATAAAAGCCGATAGCCCATTAATGTGAGGAAGTTTTCTAGGCTAGATCCAAACTATAGTCCATCTAAGACGATTATGAACTTGGAAACTTGCTGATCTTCCTAGAAATAGACCTCCTGGACTCATTCACCGTAGGGCCCGACCGTCTGATGTTTGCAGAAATAGCTAAAAACCCACCACCTCCATCTCAGATTCTACATATCCCCATATCTCTCTCTGAGCTTTGTATCACTAGAAAGCTGGAAGTGTTGCCGGGGAAATATTTCTGCTCTCCTTACATAAAAAGAAAAAGCTACAGGACTTTGTTTGCAAAGGCACATCTCAATCAATCAATTGTGTTTTGGAACAGAGACTGCAGAAATGGTCTGAGATGAGCGCCTATGAAACACGGCGATGGAGGGTTTATGATCTGGGCTTGCTTTGCAGTCCGAGGGTCTGGACACCTTGAACTCATTGAGCAGACTTTTAACTCTATTATATACCAGATTATTTTAGATTTTGTCAGTTAAATAGTAGAAATGGGATCCAAAATGTCTTCAAACGTAATAACTGAAATGCTTTCCTTCATTTTCCATCAGACAAAAAAAAAAAAAAAAAAAATCCTGTAAGTGTTATAGACCATAGAAATCAGTATCCACCTGAAATACCCAGACTGGTGGATACTTCATTTTCTACTATGTGATGGGTGAAGATGTTTTATTTCCATGGTTTTTGGTTTACATCTTTATTTTTCTATTTATATATATATATATATATATATATATATATATATATATATATATATATATATATATATATATAATATTTTTTATATAGTCAGTATTGCCTTGACTTTAAGTTTATTGACCATAAAACCTGACGCCTTAAGTAAATCTCTGTAGTTAAAAAGTCGGACGAATAAAAACGACAACAATACGGAAAATGCGTATAAGCCCTGATCTGATCAAAAGCTCTGTCACATCTAGAGCTATATTAGTAGAGCTTATGTGTTGCTTCTGAAAGTGTTTTTAGGTGTAAGGTCAGTCTTTTCCTGTAACTTTCTTCCTCTTTGTAGTCATTTATTTATAGATGCATGCTCGGCCTCTGCCTGCTGATAATCCGCCATCAGCCTGTTGAAGGCATAGTGATAACGCTTTGATGCTTTACTTACACAGGTTCTAGTTGAGCATGTTTTCTCGTGGACAGCCCTTCTGTGTGTGTGTGTGCTCACTTCAGCTTGATGTCATAGGCGTGTTTTTGTGTGCTCCTGTTTTGGTATCAAAGTGAGGACCCTTTTCCCATTTCACCATGAAATTGTGAACTGTTTGCACAGAACGGTACAAAAGGAGGACATTTTGCTGGTCCTCGCTTTGTTTTCATTTGTTTTTCCTCTTAACGTTAGGTTTAGGACTAAGAGTTGATTCGAGGTTAGGGTTAGATTTAGGGTTGTTGTAAGGGTGAGGGCATAGAAAGGTTGGAAAATGACTGAAAATCAATGGAGGTCAACACATGGTCCTCACTAACCTACCGGAAGATGAGAATATGTGTGTGTGTGTGTATCTATAATATCCTGGTGAACTATATTTAGCCTCTAACAGAGTTTGTAACTTGATCCAAATTGTCTCTCAGGCTACTGAGAGCCTTACGTTTTCTTTCTGGAGGTGAAATGTCTGACTTTCCAAGCATCCTCCTCTTTGTTTAGATTTGCTGCATAAAAGTAAATTTCAGTATATGCTTGAAGGTATTTAAGAGTTATTCGGACTTTAATGGACAACAAGGTTGTAAATTAAGATGTATTTGTGTTATTTAATATTTGATAAAATGACACATTTTGTCCGATGAACGCAGGCTGTGATGTTTGGACATTAAATGAATGAGTTAATACGAGTGTAATCATTGTCAAACGGGTAACTCTGAACACGTATGCAGGAAATTCACATGAGGATCGATTCAAAGTGTAACTATTGACTAAAATGATTCAACTCCAGGTTAAAAAATAATTAATTTAATGAAACATTGAATGTTTCACTGTAAACTATTAACAACAAATGAATGTCACAGTTAGGGTTGGGAATTGATAAGATTTTCACGATTCAGATTCCCTTATTGATTCTGTGAAACAATGAACTTGGTAAGTGGACGGTGACGTCCGTCTACCTTCGCCTGGGACATTCTATTTCTGCCTGCTTCGGTGAAAACCCAAGGCAGTGAACAGGAGCTGCCAACCTATGAGCCAGCCAGGCTACCTGTCTCGTCGCAGTTATCTAAATCTAATAGAGAAAGCATTACTGTACAATTTCAGGAAATACAGGTGCTGGTCATAAAATTAGAATATCATGAAAAAGTAGATTGATTTCAGTAATTCCATTTAAAAAGTGAAACTTGTATATTATATTCATACATTACATACAAACTCATATATTTCAGATGTTTATTTTGTTTAATTTTGATGATTACAAATGACAACAAATGAAAATCTCAAATTCATCATATCAGAAAATTAGAATATTGTGAAAAGGTTCAAAATTGATGGCCCCTGGTGCCACACTCTAATCAGCTAATTAACTCAAACCACCTGCAAAAGCCTTTAAATGGTCTTTCAGTCTAGTTCTATAGGCTACACAATCATGGGGAAGACTGCTGACTTGACAGTTGTCCAAAAGACGACCATCGACACCTTGCACAAGGAGGGCAAGACACAAAAGGTCATCGCTAAAGAGGCTGGCTGTTCACAGAGCTCAGTGTCCAAGCACATTAATAGAGAGGCGAAGGGAAGGAAAAGATGTGGTCGAAAAAAGTGTACAAGCAAGAGAGATAACCGCACCCTGGAGAGGATTGTGAAACAAAACCCATTCAAAAATGTGGGGGAGATTCACAAAGAGTGGACTGCAGCTGGAGTGAGTGCTTCAAGAACCACCACACACAGACGTATGAAAGACATGGGTTTCTGCTGTCGCATTCCTTGTGTCAAGCCACTCTTGAACCACAGACAGCGTCAGAAGCGTCTTGCCTGGGCTAAAGAGAAACAGGACTGGACTGCTGGTGAGTGGTCCAAAGTCATGTTCTCTGATGAAAGTAAATTTTGCATTTCCTTTGGAAATCAAGGTCCCAGAGTCTGGAGGAAAAGAAGAGAGGCACTTCATCCACGTTGCTTGAAGTCCAGTGTAAAGTTTCCACAGTCAGTGATGGTTTGGGGTGCCATGTCATCTGCTGGTGTTGGTCCATTGTGTTTTCTGAGGTCCAGGGTCAACGCAGCCACATACCAGGAAGTTTTAGAGCACTTCATGCTTCCTGCAGCTGACCAACTTTTTGGAGATGCAGATTTCATTTTCCAACAGGACTTGGCACCTGCACACAGTGCCAAAGCTACCAGTACCTGGTTGAAGGACCATGGTATCCCTGTTCTTAATTGGCCAGCAAACTCTCCTGACCTTAACCCCATAGAAAATCTATGGGGTATTGTGAAGAAGAAGATGCAATACACCAGACCCAACAATTCAGAAGAGCTAAAAGCCACTATTAGAGCAACCTGGGCTATCATAACACCTGAGCAGTGCCACAGACTGATCGACTCCATGCCACGCCGCATTGCTGCAGTAATACAGGCCAAAGGAGGCCCAACTAAATACTGAGTGCTGTACATGCTCATACTTTTCATGTTCATACTTTTCAGTTGGCCAACATTTCTATAAATCCTTTGTTTTTATTGGTCTTCAGTAATATTCTAATTTTCTGATATGATGAATTTGAGATTTTCATTTGTTGTCATTTGTAATCATCAAAATTAAACAAAATAAACATCTGAAATATATGAGTTTGTATGTAATGTATGAATATAATATACAAGTTTCACTTTTTAAATGGAATTACTGAAATCAATCTACTTTTTCATGATATTCTAATTTTATGACCAGCACCTGTAAACATCATCTCTCGCTGATTTAAATAAACGAGCGTCACCTTTGTCTCGCTCCCTGAACTGCGGAGCAACTTCGTAGCATGTTTAATAACCCCA